GCAGAAACTGCTCATACTGGTGAAAGACAATGGCAACGTTTCCCTGTCAGCAACAGCTACTGTGGTTGTTAAACTTGTGGAGCCCAGAGAGGCTTTTGCTGTTGCTGATGTTAAAAGTGCAACAAAGGATGATGAGGATAATAATGTGACTTTTTACCTGATGATAACTTTGGGCTCAGTCTCAACACTTTTTCTCATCAGCATCATCGTGCTGATTGCAATGCAGTGCTCTAAGTCCACAGACTACACTTCTAAATATCTACAAGAGACTAACTATGATGGGACACTGTGTCACAGCATCCAGTACAGATCTGGAGACAAGCGGTACATGTTAGTTGGACCCAGAATGAGTATAGGATCTACTATAGTCCCGGGCAGCCATGCCAACACACTAGTGCTTCCTGACAGGAGGGGGACATCTACAGAGGTAAGACAAATACATATTGAAACTCCCTTACCTTTCATGTACTGTCATGGCAATATGAATACTTACATTCAAACGGGTTGATATCAAATAATTGTTGCATCTTGTCTTACATTAAAACTTAAACACTTTTATTTATAGAAACAGGATCTGCCCTTGAGGTCTATGCATTCTATCTGCCTGAAATCCCATGTTTTGCATACTTCATTTATGTTGTTGGATAGTTGGTTTTGTACAGTTTATGTTATTGCAGTTAGTCAAATCAAACTCAGTTCCTACACCTCTGAGTGCAGGAAAAGGTGTTGCTGTCCGTGGTGCTGGAAGTATTTTACTATGGGCTTCCATTTCTTTTGGCATAGAAATAAGGACTTCATTGCAGTTTACATTCATCAAAAATAGTTTCTTAAGAGACAGATGATTGTGACTCGAGTGTAGTAACTGTTAACTGCAAATACCTAGTGCTTCTTGACAGGAGTGGGGCATCTGCAGAAGTAAGACATATTTTAGATCAAACTGACGAACTGTAACTGCTTTTTGACTAAACATATCAATGTGGTTTGTTTACTGCATAATTTGGTACTGTGTTTGTCATCATAGTTTACCTTGGTAATTATAACCTTATGTCATGGAGGTAATTTAAGTGTACTTGAAAAAGGAGATGCATTTTACTTTTAAATGATCGTCACCTCATGGGCAATGATATGGACAATGATTGTGGCCTTTCGTTTTGTTTGCATCATGTTGATATCGTATGTCGTCTATTTTTTCCCTATATCAACCGTCTTTTTTCATCAAATGGCTTGATAATACAATACAACGGTGAAAACAAAAGTTTTTATCGAACTGTACTGAGATCGCTGTCCTTGGTGCTGGGAGCGGAAATAGTTATTTTAGTCAATGTTTATAGTCTGGGCAGCCTCCTTCTCTCTTTCAACACAATATAATACATATGCTATAACTAATAATAACATACCATTGGCCACAATGTGTATTATATGCCTCACATTTCTGCAGTGAGAAAAGGGGTCGCATGGTGTCAGTGAAAAGTAAAAATTCAGCAGTACACGAGCTTGTCGTCATAGCAGTTTGGTTCCTCCTCCTGAAAACATTTTACTTCGATACTGGCAGGACCGTTTTTCTGCTCATGCCTTGATACATGATCGGTTTAGCGCATTTTCTGGAAATGCAGGAAGTGGATTAATAGGTCAATATACATGTAAGAAAGCGCTGGATTTTGACTTCACAACAGAGCTTTGTGTAGCTTGTAATGGATTACTGATGATTTCGGGTTTAACCATGGAACAAAGAACATGCGAGATGCGGAGGGCGCGAGGATGTTTGCTCGGCTGCGTGGTTGCTGTGCTTTTGTGGAGCGCGGCCTCAGCGCAAATAAGATATTCAATCTCGGAGGAAGTTAACGAAGGAACTGTGGTTGGGAATATAGCAAAAGATCTGGGATTAGATAAAAGCACACTGAAAGACAGGAAGTATCGGATTGTTTCCAGTAATGCGGATCCGCTTTTCCATGTGAATCAAAACGATGGTGTCCTGTATGTGAGCCGGAAGATTGACAGAGAGGAGGTGTGCGCGCAGAGCAGTACGTGTTTAATGAATCTGAAAACCGTGCTGGAAAACCCTCTGGAGGTGCATTATGTTGGAGTTGAGGTGCTGGATATAAATGACCATTCTCCTAGTTTTCCTGAAAGAGAGACAACGTTGGATCTTTCAGAGTCTGTGTTACCAGGAGCACGAATTCCGTTGAAGGCATCACGAGATCCAGACGGTGGCCCCTTCTCTATTCAGCAATATCAACTCAGCCCAAATAACAACTTCCGTTTGGAGGTTAAAGACAAGGGTGAAGATGGTAAAATACCAATTCTAATAGTGCATAAATCTTTGGATAGAGAGGCGGCGGGAATCCATACATTAGTACTGACCGCCCTAGATGGAGGGAAACCTCCGAAAACTGGCACAATGAATATTATAGTAAGACTTTTGGATGTTAATGATAATGCGCCTGTATTTTCTCAAGACGTGTATTCTGTAATGCTCGATGAAAATGCTCCGATAGGTAAAACAGTCATACAAGTGAATGCAACTGATTTAGATGAAGGACCAAATGGAGATGTAGTTTATTCATTCAGCAACAGTGTGAGTCATAGATTATTAAATATTTTTGACATCAATGCAATAACAGGTGAAATCATTGTGAAAGGTTTGATTAACTATGAAGAGAAGGACAAATATGAGATTGAAATTCAAGCCTCAGATAAAGGTATGGCACCTTTTGAGTCACAAAAAAGCGTCATCATTAAGATAGTAGACGTAAACGATAATGCACCTGAGATTGAGGTTACTTCATTTTCAAATTCGATAGCTGAGGATTCAAGACCTGGAACTACAGTAGCCCTTATCAGTGTAAATGACTTGGACTCTGGTCTCAATGGAAAAGTGATTTGCTCCATAGTTGAGGATGTTCCTTTTGCTTTAATGCCATCTTCACAAGACAAAATGTTTTCATTGGTGACCAAATCCCCCCTGGATAGAGAGAAACAGTCACAATATGTCCTTACAATAACTGCAAAAGACGCTGGTCAACCTCCATTATCATCTGAGAAGACAATAAATGTAGTGGTTTCAGATGTGAATGACAACAGTCCAGAGTTTTCACTGAGTCCATATACTTTCTATATCACTGAAGCTAATGAGCCAGGTACCTCTGTGTTTTCTGTTAAAGCTTTTGATCGTGATGAGAACGATAATGCACTTATAACCTATCATATTCTCAGAGATGGCAGTGAAGGAAATAAATTGACGTCATTTTTAAATATCAACTCTGAAACTGGCGATATTTTGGCGCTAAAAAGCTTTGACTTTGAGACTCTGAAAACGTTCCAGTTTCAAGTTGTCGCCACAGATTCTGGAACTCCGTCACTAAGCAGCAACGTCACAGTGCACGTGTTCATTCTGGATCAGAACGACAACGCTCCAGTCATCCTGTATCCGGTCAGCTCTAACGGTTCTGCTGAAGGTGTGGAGGAGATTCCCCGCAATGTGAACGCAGGACACTTGGTGACTAAAGTCAGAGCCTATGACGCTGATATAGGATATAACGGCTGGTTACTGTTCTCACTGCAGGAAGTTACTGCCCACAGTCTCTTTGGTTTGGACCGCTATACAGGACAGATCAGAACACTTCGCTCATTCACAGAGACAGACGAGGCTGAGCATAAACTGCTCATACTGGTGAAAGACAATGGCAACGTTTCCCTGTCAGCAACAGCTACTGTAGTTGTCAAACTTGTGGAGCCCAGAGAGGCTTTTGCTGCTGCTGATGTTAAAAGTGCAACAAAGGATGATGAGGAGAATAATGTGACTTTTTACCTGATGATAACTTTGGGCTCAGTCTCAACACTTTTTCTCATCAGTATCATCGTGCTGATTGCAATGCAGTGCTCTAAGTCCACAGACTATACTTCTAAATATCTACAAGAGACCAACTATGATGGGACACTGTGTCACAGCATCCAGTACAGATCTGGAGACAAGCGCTACATGTTAGTTGGACCCAGAATGAGTATAGGATCTACTATTGTCCCGGGCAGCCATGCCAACACACTAGTGCTTCCTGACAGAAGGGGAACATCCACTGAGGTAAGACTTTAAGAAATGTAATCATTTCTAAAATAATAGATGTGTTTTTAGATTTCTTCCAATTGAGACTGAGCTTCCAACTTCTGTTTGCAAAAGGTTCTATCTGGTGCAATATTCTCTCTTTGCTGCTCTCATCTGTAGATTGTTTTATACACACTAATAATAATAATAATAATAATACATTTGATTTATAAGCGCTTTTTCAGGTGCTCAAAGACACTTTACAGTGGTGATGAAAAAGATACAATAAAATATAAAACACTATACACTCTCACGAGTATAATGAACATGAGAAAATGTTTTATAATCAAATCTAAATGGGTTCATAAATTGCAACTTTATTTTGGGAAAATGTGTGAAAGGAGCTATAACAGATCAAACATAAATATATTACAAATATAAAAAAATACTTACCTACACTGATATGCGTTAAGTTATTTGGATGGGAGTCTTCATAATCATTCTAAAGAAATGTTAATTAAAGAGACACATATTAGGGATAAGCCTGCAGTCAATTTCCATGGTTCTGAAATACATTGACGTTACTGTTTTTAAGCAACAATAAGAGCAAATATTAAACACCAATTCATACCGTTATTTCTCGTGTGTGGATGAGAAGAAAAAAAAACCTGTACTTGGATTTTCTGAGCATTTCGTACATTCTAGTGTGTTTTTGAACGAATTTGAAACGTTCCCCTCTTGGTGTCACTGTTACTCCAACAAGGGCACAAAGGACGTTGTCCCTCCCCTAAGAAGGCTTTTGTTTGGTACCTCACAGCAGAGGATACATCAGATGTAAGGGTGCAAGCTGGATGAGACGGTACCGTGAGTTTTCTAAACATGCGATGCTAAGCTGGTTGGATAGTCACGTTAATTCGCTGCAGAAACAGGCTTCTGTGTGTATATGTGCTGTTGGATAAAGATGGGGAGTCCACGACGACATCGCTCAAGTGACAGTCGTTGGTTTCATTTTTATTTTTCTCTATTGCTGATTTTCGGGAAACATGCTTTGGCTGAATTGAGGTACTCTATTCCAGAGGAGATGAAAGAAGGGACTTCTGTTGGAAATGTTGCAAAGGATCTTGGTCTGGATAAAACCTCTTTGATTGATCGAAGATTTCGAGTTGTGTCTGGATCTAAAGATGCTTTTTTCGAGGTAAACCCGAACAGTGGTGCGTTACAGATTCTTAAAAAGATCGACAGAGAGGAGCTGTGTCAGGGGAGTGGTGTATGCACAATGGAGTTGAAGATCCTTGTTGAAAACCCTTTGGAAATGCACCATGTTGTCGTAGAAATTACTGATATAAATGATCACTCTCCTAGTTTTTCTGATAAGGAACAACAATTTAAAATAGCAGAACATACATCTCCGGGAACCCGTTTCGATCTGCACGCGGCCCGTGATCCTGATGCTGGAATTAACTCCATCCGCACATATACATTAACGTCAAACGATCACTTTGAAATAGATGTTAGTCAAAGCGATGAGGATAAAACGCCGTATTTAGTGCTGAAGAAGTCCTTAGACAGAGAACAAAAGAGCAAACATGTGCTTTTTGTAACAGCAGTTGATGGCGGTAAACCTCAAAGATCAAGTACACTAAATGTTTCTATAATTGTTCTTGACATTAACGATAACCGTCCAGTGTTTAGTCAGGATACCTATCAAGTAGAAATATATGAGAACGTTCCAGTCGGTACTATTGTTACAAGAGTGAATGCAACAGATACAGATGAAGGGAATAATGGAGAAATAGAGTTTACTCTCAGCAAAACTTTAGCGCGAAAAGTTTATGACATATTTGAATTGAATAGAGTAAGTGGAGAAATTAAATTGAAAGGTGCTGTGGATTTTGAAGAAACGGAGATTTACAAAATCGATGTTCAAGCATCTGACAAAGGAACGCCTCCATTAACAAGCCGCTGTAGAGTCATTATAAAAGTAAAAGACGTAAATGATAATCCACCAGAAATAGAAGTCACATCACTCTCTAATACTGTGTCTGAAGACTCAAAGCCTGGCACAGTGATTTCCCTTATTAGTGTGACAGATAAGGACTCCGGTGTCAACGGAAAAATAATATCAAGCATAACTTCAGACGTTCCTTTCGAGTTAAAGCCCTCTTATAAAGAAAACATTTATTCAGTTGTCACAAAAGGATTTTTGGATCGAGAGCAGGTGTCACATTACGAAATAACAATAAAAGCCACCGATTGTGGGGAACCTCTCTTATCTGCTTTCAAAACCCTCAACATTCAGATATCAGATGTAAACGACAACAAACCATTATTCTCTCAAAATACATTACAGTTTTACCTTTCAGAAAATAACGTTGCTGGAGGGTCGATATTCTCTGTAAGTGCAACGGACAAAGATGTAAATGAAAACGCAGTACTTTCTTATCAAATTGGAAGAGGGAACGAACTGGCAATGTTTCTCAGTGTAAATTCAGATAACGGACAGATTTCGGCGCTAAAAAGCTTTGACTTTGAGACTCTGAAAACGTTCCAGTTCCAAGTTGTCGCCACAGATTCTGGAACTCCGTCACTAAGCAGCAACGTCACAGTGCACGTGTTCATTCTGGATCAGAACGACAACGCTCCAGTCATCCTGTATCCGGTCAGCTCTAACGGTTCTGCTGAAGGTGTGGAGGAGATTCCCCGCAATGTGAACGCAGGACACTTGGTGACTAAAGTCAGAGCCTATGACGCTGATATAGGATATAACGGCTGGTTACTGTTCTCACTGCAGGAAGTTACTGCCCACAGTCTCTTTGGTTTGGACCGCTATACAGGACAGATCAGAACACTTCGCTCATTCACAGAGACAGACGAGGCTGAGCATAAACTGCTCATACTGGTGAAAGACAATGGCAATGTTTCCCTGTCAGCAACAGCTACTGTGGTTGTCAAACTTGTGGAGCCCAGAGAGGCTTTTGCTGCTGCTGATGTTAAAAGTGCAACAAAGGATGATGAGGATAATAATGTGACTTTTTACCTGATGATAACTTTGGGCTCAGTCTCAACACTTTTTCTCATCAGCATCATCGTGCTGATTGCAATGCAGTGCTCTAAGTCCACAGACTATACTTCTAAATATCTGCAAGAGACTAACTATGATGGGACACTGTGTCACAGCATCCAGTACAGATCTGGAGACAAGCGCTACATGTTAGTTGGACCCAGAATGAGTATAGGATCTACTATAGTCCCGGGCAGCCATGCCAACACACTAGTGCTCCCTGACAGAAGGGGGACATCCACAGAGGTAAGACACATACATATTCCAGCTTCATGTCCTTTCATGTAGCAATGTCAATGTGATGGCAATTTATTTGCTTATATTTAAACATTTTGACTTCTAATTACATTGGATCATGTCTTACATGTACACTTTAAAGTTTTGTTTAGGATATAGGATCTGCTCTTGAGGCAGCATCTTCGTCTTATCTGGCTGAAATCATTTGTTTTTTCATACTTCATCCTTGTTGTTGAATAGTTGGTGATGTATGAGTCAATGCAGTTTTTCATAACGATTAGGGTAATGTATTCCTACGCCTCTAAATGCAGGAGGAAGTGTCTCTGTCCATGGTGCTAACACATGTTGTACTGTTTGTTGGCATACCTGGTTGCCCTTTAAAAAATTATGTACTTTTTTGGACATAATCATATGGGTAAATTAAGTGAACTTGAATAAGGATATATATTTTTGTCTTTTTAAATGATCGTAGTCAATCACGTTGTCAGTGCCTTCATCAACTCTATCAAAACATTTCTGATTTCATGCCCAGCTTGGCGTTCTGCATTATCTTGGCAATGATGGACAATGGTTGTGATCTCTTTTTATTTTGTTTTGGCTTTTGCATGATGTGGATTTTGTAGCTTGTCTTATTGTACCTTATTAAAGGTAGGGTAGGTAAGTTTGAGAAACCGGCTCGAGATACACTTTTTGTTATATTCCATGGAATGCTCTTAACATCCCGATAGCAATGAATATCTTAAGTGCTTTGACAAAAAATCCATAAAAAAACGTCATCTGTGGAAGCCGTAATACTGTAAAAAGTACGACCAATCATTTTAGCCGGCCCGGCTAAAATGATTGGTCGTACTTTTTACAGTATTACGGCTTCCACAGATGACATTTTTTTATGGATTTTTTGTCAAAGCACTTAAGATATTCATTGCTATCGGGATGTTAAGAGCATTCCATGGAATATAACAAAAAGTGTATCTCGAGCCGCTTTCTCAAACGTACCTACCCCACCTTTAATGCAAGTAGGCTACAATAAGAAAGTGAAAAAAAAAATCCTATTCCAAAGTGTTTGCCGAACTGAATAGCAATGAGATCGCTGTCCTTGGTTCTTGAAGCTGAAGTAGTTTATTTAGTCGATGTTTATAGACTCGGCAGCCGCCTTCTCTCTTTTAGAATTTAATAACTTTGATATGTTTAAAAACAAAATACCATTGAACAAAGTGTTGATTATATGCCTCATATTTCTGCAGTGAGAAAAGGGGTCGCATGGTGTCAGTGAAAATGTATAATTCAGCAGTAGGCATGAGATTGTCGTCATAGCAGTTTGGTTCTTCCTCCTGACAATATTTTACTTCGATACTGGCAGGAGCGTTTCTCTGCTCATGCCTTTATACATGATCGGTTTAGCGCAATTTATGGAAATAAAGGAAGTTCTTTAATATGTAGATATACATGTAAGAAAGCGCTGGATTTAATCTTCACAGCAAAACTATAAAGATTGTAATGGATTACTGATGATTTCGGGTTTAACCATGGAACAAAGAAGATGCGAGATGCGGAGGGCGCGAGGATGTTTGCTCGGCTGCGTGGTTGCTGTGCTTTTGTGCAGCGTGACTTCAGCGCAAATACGATATTCCATCTCGGAGGAAGTTAACGAAGGAACTGTGGTTGGGAATATAGCAAAAGATCTGGGATTAGATAAAAGCACACTGAAAGACAGGAAGTATCGGATTGTTTCCAGTAATGCGGATCCGCTTTTCCATGTGAATCAAAACGACGGTGTCCTGTATGTGAGCCGGAAGATTGACAGAGAGGAGGTGTGCGCGCAGAGCAGTACGTGTTTAATGAATCTGAAAACCGTGCTGGAAAACCCTCTGGAGGTGCATTATGTTGGAGTGGAAGTCCTGGATATAAATGACCATTCTCCCAGTTTTTCAGAAAAAGAGAAACGGTTGGAAATATCTGAGTCTGTGTTGCCCGGAGCACGGATTCAACTAAAACCTTCACGGGATCCAGACAGTGGTCATTTCTCCGTGCAGCAATATAAACTCAGCCAAAACGATCACTTCCGTTTGGAAGTTAAGGATAAGGGAGAAGATGGTAAAATACCAATATTGGTTGTACAAAAATCCTTGGATAGGGAAAGGGCAAAGAGCCACTCATTATTGTTGACTGCTATGGATGGAGGAAAACCTCCAAAATCTGGCACCATGAATATTGTAGTGAATGTTCTAGATGTAAATGATAATGCGCCTGTTTTCTCTAAAGATGTTTATTCTGTGATGCTCAATGAAAATGCTCCGGTAGGCACAACAGTCATACAAGTGAATGCAACTGATTTGGATGAAGGACCCAACGGAGATGTAGTTTACTCATTTACAAATAGTATGAATCTAAATATTTTAAACCTTTTTGATATCAATGCTTTAACAGGCGATATAAAGGTAAAAGGATTAATAGATTATGAGGAGAAAGACAGATATGAAATTGAAATTGAGGCATCAGATAAAGGCCTTGCTCCTTTTACAACTGACAAAAGCGTCATCATTAAGATAGTTGATGTTAATGATAACACACCTGAGATTGAGGTTACATCATTTTCAAACTCCATCCCTGAAGATTCAAGACCTGGAACAACAGTAGCCCTTATCAGTGTAAATGACTTGGACTCTGGTCTCAATGGAAAAGTGATTTGCTCCATAGTTGAGGATGTTCCTTTTGTTTTGACTCCATCCTTACAAGAAAAAATGTTTTCATTGGTGACAAAAACACCTCTGGATAGAGAGATACAGTCACAATATGTCCTTACAATAACTGCAAAAGATGCTGGTCAACCTCCATTATCATCTGAGAAGACAATCAATGTAGTGGTTTCAGATGTGAATGACAACAGTCCAGAGTTTTCACTGAGTCCATATACTTTCTATATCACTGAAGCTAATGAGCCAGGTACCTCTGTGTTTTCTGTTAAAGCTTTTGATCGGGATGAGGACGATAATGCACGAATAACCTACCATATTCTCAGAGATGGCAGTGAAGGAAATACATTGACATCATTTCTAAATATCAACCCTGAAACTGGAGATATTTTGGCGCTAAAAAGCTTTGACTTTGAGACTCTGAAAACGTTCAAACTCCAAGTTGTGGCCACAGATTCTGGAACTCCGTCACTAAGCAGCAACGTCACAGTGCACGTGTTCATTCTGGATCAGAACGACAACGCTCCAGTCATCCTGTATCCGATCAGCTCTAACGGTTCTGCTGAAGGTGTGGAGGAGATTCCCCGCAATGTGAACGCAGGACACTTGGTGACTAAAGTCAGAGCCTATGACGCTGATATAGGATATAACGGCTGGTTACTGTTCTCACTGCAGGAAGTTACTGCCCATAGTCTCTTTGGTTTGGACCGCTATACAGGACAGATCAGAACACTTCGCTCATTCACAGAGACAGACGAGGCTGAGCATAAACTGCTCATACTGGTGAAAGACAATGGCAACGTTTCCCTGTCAGCAACAGCTACTGTGATTGTCAAACTTGTGGAGCCCAGAGAGGCTTTTGCTGCTGCTGATGTTAAAAGTGCAACAAAGGATGATGAGGATAATAATGTGACTTTTTACCTGATGATAACTTTGGGCTCAGTCTCAACACTTTTTCTCATCAGTATCATCGTGCTGATTGCAATGCAGTGCTCTAAGTCCACAGACTATACTTCTAAATATCTACAAGAGACTAACTATGATGGGACACTGTGTCACAGCATCCAGTACAGATCTGGAGACAAGCGCTACATGTTAGTTGGACCCAGAATGAGTATAGGATCTACTATAGTCCCGGGCAGCCATGCCAACACACTAGTGCTTCCTGACAGGAGGGGGACATCTACAGAGGTAAGATAAATGTTTTTGGATGTTTTGATTTTCGCATCCCCTGCATACTTAATACTATGTGTGAAAGTCCCCCTCTAAAGCGGAAATACATTACATTACACTGCAAATAGCAATAATTAAATAGCAGAGAAGCGATACATTACTCACTGGAACATACATTGTGATTAGTTTAAAATTGTGTGGACTACAACTTAGCATGAGAGCAGAGTTGTCATTCTGTTTTTGTTTTTCATCTGCAATGTGATTTGTAATCATATATGTGTTATGGGGCTTGCAACTTGTGTGCTTGAATACGTTTTGACAGCTGCAGTTCATGAGCTTTAGTAACATCCTGGAATAGATGAGATGTAAATAAAAGGATCGTGGTTGGTTCCAATACTAAAGCTTATCCCCACTGTTAAACAGTTATATATACGTTTATATCTCATATCACTTCTGAACGTTTGAAGATTGTATTTCATGTGTTAACTTAATACTAACATCTTATAATAATAACGATTCTAACGCTTGGTGTCAGTGTAGCTCAGTGTTTCTGTAACTGGCAGCACTTTACGTCACGAGCTTTATGTGGATCGAGTCCTTGCATTTTTCAGAACATACTTGAGCGAATAAGATCGCAATTGCCACCGACGAGTGTGTTTAATTTTCAACCGTTTTTGTAAAAGCAGACGTTGGATGTTGTGAAGAAACATGGCGGATTAAGTTTCATTTATTTCAAGACGTAGTTAATGGACTGTTCTCTATCGCCCATACGAGCCATGGAACAAAGAGGAATAAAATCACGGACGCCGCGACAATTTTGGTTTGCCTTGATGGTTGTTTTGGATATTTTATGGAGAGGAGCTACAGCACAGATCAGATATTCAATATCTGAGGAGGTTCAAGATGGAACCGTGGTCGGGAATATAGCGAAGGATTTGGGGCTAGATAAGAGTGCACTCAAAGACAGAGGATATCGCATTGTAACAGGCTCAACTGAGCCCCTGTTTCAAGTTAATCAAAATGATGGTATATTGTATGTTAAAAAAAGAATAGATAGGGAGGAGGTGTGCCACCGGACCAGCCCGTGTTTGATTAACCTCAAAACTGTGCTAGAAAACCCGCTGGAGATCCACTATGTGGCGGTGGAAATACTAGATATAAATGACCACTCGCCTGTTTTTCCGG